ACCATACGTTAGGCGTAATGGTGGGTGAACGACCAGCTCCTACTGGTTTTTGTTACTATTCTACTCCTGATTTACCTTATCGCTCTTTGCTTCGGGTGCTAGAACAGCTCTTGCCAGGAAAATAACAAAAGAAATAGTCGGTGTGGCATTAGAGTACCAGTTAACATTGCCATCTGGATGAACACCGCCGGCACTATCTTCGGAACTTAAGAATGGAGAGAAATAAATCGAAATTCATCAAAGAGCTGCACAATAGTGTGCATCTACACACGAGGCATAACAATAACTCAAGTGTGAGCAAGCTCAACCACCAGAAGTAGAGCTGTTAAAGCCCAACCAATGTAGACCAAAACGGATTTCACGCCCAAATGCAATTAGCTAAATTTTACTAAATTTTCCTATGCTTATTTCTTTATTATTGGTGACAGGCTCCTGTAGCTCACTGATGTTAGTGACAGAGCCTCATGAATATAGAAAATCGGCTCTAAGGGATAAATCTTGTGATGTTTAGCTAAGTAATGTGTTTTTTTTGCAGGCCGATATCTGTCAGCGAATCTGAAAGATCCCCTGGGTTAATCAGGTAGACCTGGCTCATGCGGACTTGTTATAAGCTTTAGCAAAGCTTAGAGGCTTAAAAAATGCTAAACTCTATTTTACTGGTTGTTTATGTGGCTCAGTATCCCCTGAAAACGGTATGCTGTGGCCTTCTAACCATGAGTTAAATACAGGCTCCCCTGAATTCCCATGTAGATATAATATTCCTTGCAATATTTCTAGCGTTTTCGCGCAAAATCATCCCTTATTTGCATACATTTATCATGTATGCCTGCAAAGTGTACTTTTCGGCCACGTGCGCAGCCCATAGTTTTCGCAGGGTATTACGGGCTAATTAGAGCATTTCTGGATAGCCATGCCCATCTAGATCATACGCCGCTTCCCTACTTTTTATGCTTTCTTTTCTTTTTTCTGCTATCTGCTTGCAAAGCAGAAAGCCATTTTTAGCGAAAAGTAAAAATGGCCTTATTCGTAGACCATCATTTAATTGCAAATAACTCGCAAAATACTGCACGTATTGTGTTGCTTTTAGGTTCAGCGTATTCAGGCGCTAAAGCTGGTCCAGACCAGTGTAATTTTGTGCTACTTAAAGCGGTATTCTAACTGTAGAAAGGCTTTTTCTTTTATCTGAGAATAACTCAGGTTGAAATTTCGCGCCGGAGGGCAATATCAGCGTAAGAAAAGTAGGGCTCTATTTTTTTGTTAATTGGTATTTTTCTACTGAAGCGCGCGGATTTATTTTCTCTCTTAACAAATTGTTTCTATTCTTGTGTGCATTTATCTAATCTTTTTTAACTTCGTATGCCTTATGATCCCTTGCCTCATTTCTTCCATGTGCGCAACAACAATTGGGGCAACTGAGTGGCCAATTAATGTGCGATCAATTTAAAGTGAACTTTCGGCGAATTGGATTCTGTTCCAAGGAGAAAAGGCACAACTCCGCGAAGTTTTTCACAATAAAAGAACAAGGGGCTCAAGGTCGCCAGAAGGAACCAGAAAACGTCAAGATGGGCGCCTGATACCCAGTAGCTGTATACCAAACAGTGCCAATGCATTTGTAATTTCTAACGATGAACATATATTTATATTTTGCCTACTTCCATGCAAGAGCATCGGATTAATGTAAGCCTTGATCTGAACCCTTTAGGGTGCAGCCTCTAGCAGGTCTAGAAATATACCTATTTATTTATTGTTTATTATTTATTATATAACAGCTTGCGGCTTGGGTGAGTTGGGTACGTCCGTATTAGGTAAACCAAGAATGGGTCTAAGCACTGACGTCGAACTTCACCACTGTACAATCTCAGGGACCGCAGGCTGCGTTGGTAGAAGAAAACATCAGCTAACGATTAGGAATGAGTAGACGAATTTCAGCATGATACAAGTTGTTGCTTCGCAATTAAATTCCAAGCCGCATCCGTAAGCCACCAGTCCGGAAAAGCACCAGACGCGCGTTTCGCCCTATTGGGGTTGGGCACTGGTGCGCATCCATCGGTCCTTGGTTGAGGATGGAACCCATGACTGCTAGAGGCTAACACCAACTAGTCAGCGGCCTACGCCATTGAGTCATGGGGAAAGACAGTCGAACATTACGAATTGAAACCTAACAGCGATATAGCCGGACACGTCCCCCACTGCCGTGCAGGTAATTGCCCGTGCAAAGGACAGTGGTTGGCCGTCACGGTCCGGTCTTCCCTTGCCAGCGCCGTGAATCCACGCAGCAAGTTATAATACTGGTAGGGCTTAGCTTTTTCATTATGGTATGATTTAGCCTTGCAAGCGTTCTCCCTATAAAAGCCCCAGATTTCCGTCTAACAACACTGTTACCTGGCGGACGTGACTCGCCACTGAATAAAGTCACTGCTTCTGCACGTTCCGAAGGATCATTCCCACATCACGAATGTCATCCATTTTGGAGCGTTCTTTTGATCCCTTCCTTTACTGGCGAACCCAGCGAAAAAAGTCTCAGCGTCACCTTGACATACTCACTCCACATGGCTACTAACGCAAACACACCCCCGCACTTAACCACTCATATATGCGTATATCTATATATATTCAACACTATACCAATAACGATATGCTTGGCTGAGGAACACAGCAATTAAACCTACTGCTACATGTCAACATAAAAACCTCCGTTCTTATGCAACTTGGCGGCTTGTTTTATTTGTGCAATTGCGGATCAAAAGTGTCTGGATTACCATGATCATGGTTTTGATGGCGTGCCTCGTAAGAACGAGAACAAACTATCTATTTATTTGTTCACAAATAACTCCTCCATATTACTAGTCAAAAACAATAAGGAGTTGTGGGGTACTACTCGCACTGTAGTCGCAGCTAATGACGGGTAACTGGTGTGCAAATTACGAAACTATAGACAGCAGTAAGAACGGCTGGACACAGCATGTATTGATGGTAGCTGCAACGCTTGGTGAGCGAATACATATGATCAGCAGTCGGCGTAGCACCGTAGCTGGCCCGGGCACAATGCAGTTTGCGTCCGCCAATGTTTCAGGGAGCTTCCATGTGCATACTCCATTTTTAAGAAAGAGATACCCCATGAGCCGTCTGATAGTTTTATCAAAACCACGTCGTAGGAGACACTGTTGGACGTAGGGTGAGCCGGACGCACACACAGTGGCGAGCTGGATGTGTTGTCCCAGCTGTTGATGGAAAATTAGTTTTGAGGTGACTTGGTGGGTAGGGCGTAAATGAGCGAAGTTGGTTGGTCTAAGACACATCAAAAAAGAAATGGGAAGGTAACGAGGAAACGATCGTGACATCCTAAACAAGGATCAAGGGGCTGTTATATGTTGATGTGCTAAAATCAAAGTTCGACGTGTCACGGCGTGGTAGGTATGTCAGATGAGTAAAACAATTAGAAGCCTAAGATCTACAAATATCAGTAAAATGGGACATCATGCAATGCTGACATCGCAAAAGTTTCGTAATTACTACAGCTAATTGCTAAAGCGCTCGCAGTTTTGCTACTGTGAAATGGCAGTGATAACGGTGGTTTGGATCGTTTAAGGCCTTGTACACGCATTTAATTGGCTTTAACAAAGCTTTCGACACCGTACCACGTCCCCGCCTATTGTGTAAGCTGGCTCTATTGTATGTCCGAAGTGGCACCACTGTAAAGGATAACATTACTACAGGTTAGGGAAGTGCTTTCGCGTGCGATCGGCTCTGTCCTCTCGACAGTTGCTTCGCAATGATGTTCCGCAGTTGTCTGTCCTCGGTCCGCTGTTATTTACGCTGTATGTTAATGACTTCACTGAGAAACTGGGCTTCTCGTCTCTTATGCATGCAACAGACAAGTTCCGGGGTACAGTCAGTGAACCGGATGACTCCAAGTTTCTGCAACTTGCACTTGATAGGCTCTGCGATTGGTCCACTTTGTGGTCAATACCCACCAAAATTACAAAGTGTTCAGTATTGCACCTTGCAAACGTTGATCCATCGACGTCTTGCTTTGTAGGGTGCAACAAAATAGCACGCGTATCCGAGCAAGCTGACTAAGGTGTCACGCTATCATCGAATCTCAAGTCGAGCGCAAACTGGACGAAGCCTGCTTACACGGGGTCCATATTTCTGTGTAGCATCCGCAGTTCATTCGAAATCCTAATGGGCAAAATGTTGTTAACCTTTATATGGCTTTAACCTGACGCCAATTAGATTACTGCGCCAAGGTATGCCACCCTGCTTGGAGCGGGATAAGGTGGCCGTAGAACGGGCTTTGAGGATTGGCCCCAAAGCGTTGCGTGGACTAAGACACCTGAGATAATCCGAAAGCTTGCATAGGCTGGGACTTTCCCCTCCGAAATATCGGTGGCACCGAGGACCTCTGACCCTTACTTATCGCACCTTATCGGACTGGTCCAGGCGTATGTCATTTCTCACTTCCGCCTCGATGGCCAACACTTCGTGGGCACATAGCTCGATCCGATCGGATGGGAGCTGATGTCTGGTTATCGCGTAGGATAGTTGACTCTTGGACGCCTTTCCCGGGGATGCAGTGTTGACAGCGACGGATAAAAAATTTGAACGTTAACTTGACGCTCTCGGTTTGCAACCACAACACTTCCCCATCACACCTTGGCCTGGGGTACAATTTTCCAGTTCCGCTATCTCATCTCGCTTAAAGTGTATATTCTACGCTACCTGCGGTTTATCTCAGTTACAGTTTCATTCTCCTTTCCTTTCTTTCTGCTTTGTTTTATTTCTGTCCAATGGATAATACGGCGGGGACTTCTGGTGTAGGGCACGTGGACATTGATTGCTTGACCGCGGAGTGACACGCGTGGCGAGTGTACACACTCAGAAGTCAAAACAATTCGCTGAAACCCACCCAGGTTCAATAACAATTCCACAATGAAACCTTCATGGGTTGCTCCTGTTGTTTACCCCAAGTAGCTTGGATTTGTTTGTTTACATTAAATTTTATTTAGCTCAGCAATACATTTTAATATTGTACCTAGGTTATTGCGCGATGCGCCGATCAAGAAAGTTTATGCTTGCCAAATTGGAAAAGGTTTACTACAGTTAAAGAAGCTATCGCATCTCTATGTTTTTCACACCTTAGGATGGAGGCAACAAAATCACCTAACAGCTTTGGTTGCCGAACGTTTTCGGCTAATGTGTTCGTAAGTGCTTGCATGTGCTGAGATTAAAAAAGTCCTTGCATAATTGAAATCCAAGTTTGCTACACATGTTTTACAAGTTTATAACTATTTTTGCTTAGCGAATGAAGTAAAAGATGGAAGGACTCTATCGACACATGTGCTGTCGGCGTCCCATTAGGAAAATTTTTCACTAGATTGACAACGGAAAATGAAACTGACGTACGGTGTCTAAACATAACGGAGCCTCATATATTGCAACGTTATCGTCTGCTATATTTGTAATTGGAAGTGATCATACCACTCAGTTGGAATGTGCCTCCCACTGTCAAGTTCAATTGAGATCGGAACAGCAAGAAAATCCTGTGAAAGTTCCACCTTCAAAACGTCGTTGATTTAACATGGAAACCGGTACTTTAATGTGCCAAAGAAGTGTTAAATAAACACACACGATTAACATGGTTAGGCAAACAATGACCACGTACCCCGTACTAGCAGTTCCGGCTGTGCCGGCCACATGAAGAATAAAAGAAAAGGAAAGGGAACATAGGAGAAATCAAGCTTATCTAATTTCGTGGACAGTATTAAGGTATAAGTTAAAATGTGCTAAAAAGTGTAGGCCATATTAGATGAGTAAAAGCATAAGGCATAAAGGGGTAGACTTTAAACTGCAGACAGAGAGCGTTAAGTCGATGCTCGAACTCTTTCACTGTCGGTGCCTTCATGACGCTTGCAGACATTGCGTTCTAATAAGCTATGACTTTACGCGATAACTGCAGTGCTGACCAAACCCGGTCACACCGGGTTTTGTGCAACTTTAATGGGTGGCCATGTAGGGTTGGCGCTCGAGTTGGGCAAAACAGTCCAGTCAAATCAGGACCAATTTGACTCATCAGTACACGATGCGGGAGGATCAAGTCCCCCTGAAGAGGCCTGCAATACATGAAAAACATATCTAACTTATGTAGGCTCTCCGGGTACGTCAGATTTCTTAATCCGTGCGCCATTTTTGTCGCGAACTGCAGGACTCCTTCAGCTGCTAGCTTATCATGACCCAGGCATAGAGGATAAACATGAACGAAGCATTCCAATGCCGCCTTACAAAAGCCAAAAATAGTCCAACAAACATTTCGGTTGTCATGATCCCGAATGACCTGCCGATCATCCACAACATGTTGAAACCTTTGCGAGCAGCTGTCGTCCAGTGTTCACTGGACTTGAAGTCTGATGACAGCAAAACTCCGAGGTCAAATTGAAGTTGAAGTCGCAGTACCTCGTTGCCACTAAGCAAATAACGCGTCGGCGGGTCATTCGGACCAACGCGCACAACTGAACGTTTCGCTTAATTAACGGGAAACTGCTACGAAAGGGACCAGGCCGAGCGTCTATCCAGAGCCCTCTGTGGGGTCAGTGGACCAATCGAATCGTCTATTGTGAACCAGAGTCTCAAGTCAACTGCAAACATTAGAAACGGCACGCATAATTCATCAGGTTGGTCCTTAAGATATAAAGTGAAGAGGAAGAGGCCAAGGACTTAGCCTTGCGGAACGCCACTGTGAACACATTAGCGGAAGGACAGGCTTAAACACACCAACTCACGTTTCTCTTCCAATTAGACACTCTGAAAGCCATCGTAATTTTGGTCCGGAAATACCGTGGGACTTCAGCTTGTACAAAAGCCTCCAACGTGGAACGGTGTCAAGAGCTTTGGAAAAGTCAATAAACACCAAGTCTACTGCCTTACCACAATCACGGGCTTCGGCACAGTGTTCGTGAGCCGTAAACAAGTTAGTAAGGCAAGAATAGCCCATACGAAAGTCGTGCTAAGAGAAAATAAGCAACTTAAACGCTCTAAAGTGTTCCTCGAGAGCGCTCCTCGTGAGATTTTTTAACAACTTGACCAGCACGCTCGTTAAACTGACCAGTCTATAGTTATCAAGGAGGTGCTTGTCAACTTTCTTAAAAATTAGACAAACAATAGCATCCTTCCAGTCAGTGGGTAGAGAGCAGCTGCGTAGAGACCTCACAAAATACAGTGTACTCGGATGGCAAACTTCATCAGCCAACGTGTCGGGAAAGATACCTTGTTTACCTATATGATATATCCTAAGTGTGCTGTGGTTGCTTTATAATAAGTTAGTACATGCAGCCAGTATGTTTAGCTGACTTAATCCTGCTGTAATGGTTTATGAGCTTCTGCCAGCCCTGATGAGGTGCTGGTTGTGACGAGGACCAGTGGGAAATAATCAAATACCAATTGTTCAGAAGTAATTACGTATGCGGCCCAAGGTTTATTGTAAAGAGCTGCAATCTACTAGAAGCAAATTAACAAGCGTGCAGAGCAAGGTAGTGTGCGAATTACATGGAATTCGAAAGTAAACAGGACTTGTCTTTAATACAGCGAATGGACGCTCTGAAGCTACAAACAACAATGCAATCCAGTGACGCAACCTGCTGAAGGCTTAAATGTCTCACGTTTATTACAGGGGTCTCCCCCTGGAAGGCTGAATGTGGGAAGCCTTTGATAGAGACGTCATGTGGGGGGACAAAATGAGGATGCGAAAGTAAATTAGTAGTTGCACTAAGCGCACGCGGACAGAAAGAGCGCAATTGGTGTTCTTCGGGTCCAGGCTACTTTGTTAATTATTATTTATTATTTGGATGTGGGCTGGAGTGCATCATCCTTGGGCTGTCGGGATGGGCCTGTCAAACTGCAAAAACTAACTAGTCTTCAAGAATGCCGTCAATTCAGGGTTAGCAAAGTCTACTCCACGAGTGACATCGTGGATGGAGAGTTGAAAAGAACGCACTGCTTCGCACAGTCAAAAGACATTCTTAAAAATTCGAACAAGCCGAAGTGAGTGCTGACGGCTGTTTTAGTTATGTCAGCTTCCTCGACAGGTATCTGATGATAGTCACGGCCAAGATCGATTTTGTTAATAACCGCCTTACCTGTGAGATATGAAATAAGGTCTTGCATGTGCGGTATTGGGTACCAATTGGAACCGTAAGTTTAGTTGGTGCCCGTTGGTCGCCGCAAGGACGTCAGTCTCCCGATTTCTTTAGGACCATCTGGGGTGGAGATGACCAGGGACCATCTGAAGGAGGAATTATTCCAAGTGCAAGCGTGTGCCCAAACTCCGCTCTAGTTAGCTCGCGTGTCACCGACGAAAGACTGCATGGGCGTGCTGAAAGGAGTGTGCGGCTTGTCCGAATTTGATGGGTGATTTGAGCTGTAACAAGTTTAGCTGCTTGCATTGGCCTAACGAGCTTAGGGTAATGGGCGGAATGTTCGTCATAATCGGGAGAGGTCTGTGAGGGAACGTAGATTGGGGGTGATGGGTGTGATGCTGAGGTTGGTACCAGCGACGCTGAGCCTCGTTGCGGGATCGAGCATGCTAATTTGTTTCGTCTCAACCAACGGGTAAAAATATCTAATACATTTTATGCTGGTGATGGCAAGCGGGACTGCGGCTATAATGAACACCCGGCGAAATGTTTAACTGTGACTTACCTTAAAGATCAAATGGCGTTTGCTCTAATTAGGGATGAGTGTGCCCTTGATAGCACTTAGGCTGATAGGGATCGTTTAACTCGACTCTTCCGGAGACGAGGGTGCATGCTGATGTCAGCCCAGGTATCAAGGAGGAATGCGGTTTCAAATTTTCAGTCTTGAAGGTCAAGTAGGCCACTGCCGCATCTGAGGCCGGTGGTTTGTGGCTTGAATGTTTTTCTATAAACCTGGTTGGAAAGTGCATGGTGTAGTACATTGCTCTACCTGAGGGCCAAAGTAGCGGTGATGCCTGCAAATTTTGCATGATAGAGTGTTGGGCTTGGCGGACTTGCTCTGAGGTACCGGTTAGTTAAATGGTTAACGAAAGTGCTATGTAATACTTTCAGTACATTAACTACTACGGTAAGCTCAGAGGAATTGGAAATAGGGGCTGCATGACTCCTGCATAAAGCAATTGGCTGCTGAGACGCGTTAAGACTATTCGGCAGATCTGTGGCGGGTAGTGTTGCGCGATCTACTTCCCTAGGAAGATAATCTATGATCGCATCAACCAGTCACGCTGCTAGAGTGAGGGAAGTGATGTTGGAACATTGGAACATTGTATTTAATGGGAATAAAAGCTCGAGCTTTACATGACCGATAGGGTAAAGAGTTCGGGTCGGGTCTAATGAAAGGCCAAGCAACCTTATAGCGGGTTGGACTCGCGTGTTAGCCGTATCTTCATCGGGCTTATGTGGCATTTAAACAGTATGCACGCCGGCCCAAAGCGAGACATCCCACCGCGCCCTCCGAAACGGCTTTGGCGGATATGACGATAGATTGGACTATCTCGGATAGCCATAGTTCCAGAAGGACGGTTTCATGCATTGAGAACAAGGCGAGAAGTCTCTTCATCTGCCCCAATAGGGCGGATGGTCTAGTATCTCCTAGACGCAAACCATGGCAGAGCTGTTTGATTCGCGTACTTGCTGGCTGTTCCAGATGGGTCACGATCATCTGCTTAAGAGACTCATATAAATGTACGTATTGGACTCGAAAGGATGTCGCTAACCTGTAGGCCGAAGTTGCTAAGAAGGCTACCTAACAAATGGCAACAGTTAGATTAGTTCAGAATGTTATGATGCCGCCAAGAATCACCATCTAACAAGGCTGGCCAAAAAGGAGGATCTTTAAATAAGATAGGGAGGCAGACTAGCAGTGGTGTAGCCACTAGTATTTCTGCTGGGACGGAAGTAAAATATTTGACCTGAATTAGGGCGGAATATGCGCGCGAGGATAAAATAATCGGCTCAGGGTAATGTACATCTTAGGTTTCAATGAAATGGTTGATCGCTTTTGACACTAATTTAAATGTGGGGAAAGTGATCACAGTAGGTCTGTTAAAGGAAGCGCTGGGAAAAAGGTTTGCTAATGGGTGACACATGGCGCAGATATATTGCTGAGCATACAGAGTAACCCTCAGCTTATCCGGATTTTACCTTTTATGTTTGGTACCGAACACTAGAGGGTACTGAAACTGCCACCTCTGTCCCATGCCGCCAAGGGTGGACCGCCCACCGACTTCCTATGCTTCGCTACTGTAGACAAAGCTGCAACACTACTAAATGAATCGAAAATGCTGGTATCTGTGTGAGCCATAGAATAACCTAAAATAATATTTGCAAAAGTGCAATTCAGTAGTTGAGACGAACGGGCCCACCAAAAATCTTTTCGGTGATGGTGGAACCGTACTGGAGATCCGGGTGACTAACTGTGGGTTGATATTCAGATACTAGTCGCAATAATTGTCACATAAGAGTCTTGGCAAGAACGGTAATAGGGAGAACAGCTGGATTGTCTGGACCCAATGTGCAGTGATAAAAGCCAAAGTAATAGGAGGCTGGTAATAGGAGGAAGACAGTAGTGTACAATATGATACAAAAGAAGCACAAAGGATCGGGATGTAATATGAGTTACACAAATAGACGGTCGGAAGAAACATAACATCCAGGGTCACAAAATATTGAAAGCGTGCATGACTTATGTTCACTAGAGGCCCCTGGTAGTGCTTTTCACCATCTGAAAAACGTATGAACCAAACGTTTGCTCACCGGATCCCAACGAGTGGGAAACCCCTGTCACTCTTTGCCGCCTTGTAGTTTGTTCAAAGGCTGAAAAAGGTGGCCCCCTAAGAGGCCCACCTACTTCGGTCTACGCAACCGGGTAGTCGCACGCCTGCTGACGAACATGGAACCACAGTTACGTTCACTCTTTCGCTCCCATAATAATTCGCTGTCTTGCCACTACGTCAACTTTAAATGCACACGCCAGCACCTCAAATACCCTTCCCTCATATCATGCACCTTTACCATAATTCGATTCTTGACCAAAGAACAAGCCTACCTCGGTCGACGAAGTTGTTTTCCTACCATCCGTCAGCCTCGTCCCACTGTCCTCTACAGGAAGTTACCATCCTTGAAGCCTGTTATCTTCCCTACTGCAACCTGGAATGCAGTTCAAACTAGCAACCTTTAACGTGCGCATATTATTGCAGCTAGAACAGCAAACTGGACCTGAACGCACGCTGTAGATCTTTGCAATTGTTGCCTGCTGCCTATGTGAAACACGTCTCCAGTATTCAAATATAGTCTACCAGCTGTCATCGTCAGTCCAGTCACACTCCCGCTTTTATCTTTGCCATAATGGTGAGGCTAATTCTTTGCCAGATAGGCAAGCTGTTGTTAGGATATCTCTTTTAATTCTAGTGTCGAGGCCCCGCTATTTGATTGGATTCCAAACAACAGTCCCCTTTGCGCTATGATGCACCGTGGTTCTTGCAAGGTTACCTGACATCGAACCGACAAGCGTGCTGTTGTGTGATCTCTGCCAACGCGCCCACGGAGTTCTGCTCGGATGCAGCCAAGCGCCAGTTCTGTCAATACCTTTACGACCTGCTTCTAAGGACACCTAAAACAAACCTCATTATTATGCGAGTAGACTTCAACGCACGTGTCAGTCGGCTGTTACCTTATGAACGTCACCTCAAGGGACTGTATGGGTATGAGGATATTCGCTCTGACAACGGTGAGAAACTGCTCAGTATATGTATTGACCACCAACTCATCCATTCCAGTACTAACTTTTGTCACTCTGCACGCCACTATGCTATCTGGCGTCCTCAATCATCAACCCAATATTGGTCACTAAAGGATCCCATAACCATGAGTCGCAGGTGTCGCGGAAGCGTACGCGATTGCAGACGATTTTGGTCAACTTACACTGAGATTGATCATG